GAAGGAGAGAGAAATGAAAGAGTCCACGATGTGACTCGGCTGATGTAACACTGCTGCTGCTTTTTATTTAAACTTTAAACTCACATACTGTACTGTAGCCTTCACAGCGTCTCTGATTGGTCGGCCTGACTCTGCTGCTGCAGCGTTCAGCGGTTCAAAAACCAATGGTTGATGAGACTGTGATTGTGAACACATTTACACAGTAGAGCTGTCAAAAACTAAATCACTGAGTGATCGTAATTAATCACCAATAATCAAATAATCAGAATTTTTAAATATGACAAAATCCTTTTTCTTGTACTTTGCTGGAACTGAAAGACAAACAACAACAATTATTATTATTATTAATATGGCAAAAAAATAGAGAAACTGGAAATGGACCTTCATAGAGTTGATCTGTTTGATTATTATTATTATTGTTCTTCTATATTACACGTGTCAAACTCAGGCCCGGGGGCCAAATCTGGCCCAGAGTGTATTTATATTTGGTCCGTGAGCTCATATTAAATGTGTTCTAGCGTTGGCCCACCAGTATACTGACAGGATTTGTAGTATTAGCAGTGTTTTCGCACCTACAGTTTGTTTTTTTTTCTTTTGTTTTTGTCCTGTGAAAGATTTACATTAAAAAGGAACTGGAAAAGCTACAGATAGAGACACAAATCAATGTTTACGCAAATATAAAGGAAAACATTCCAGTTAAATTTTCAATAAATATTAACCTAGGCCCAGTGACTTCATCCCAGTTTTTAATTTTGGTCCAGTGTGAATTTGAGTTTAACCATTATTATTTGGTCCAGTGTGAATTTGAGTTTAACACCCCCTGATCTGTACGAACACGTCTTTTTTTTCTGTCCACATGTTTGTGTGCAGACCATGATTCTAATAATGTCATTAATATCAATGATAATAATGAAAACTTCAACATGACATTCTTGAAGAGGCGTCTTCCATGTTCACTGTTAGTGTGATCTACTGCCATCTACTGCCGTCCCTATGTTCAGTGTCGGTGTGATCTACTGCCGTCCCCATGTTCAGTGTCGGTGTGATCTACTGCCATCTACTGCCATCCCCGTCTTTGAGGCCAACGATGTTGGGCCTGGAACTGTTTTTCCTCTTAACCCATTGTCGTGTTTAGGAAACGTGTCAACACCTCAGACGTGTGTGTGAGCTACGACGTCGTTTTGTGCCTCGTTAGAGTCTACATCTCAGAACAGGTCTGCAGGAGTCTGTGACCCTAATGAGCGCCGGAGTCGAGCTGAGTGGCAATTATCGTAATTGGCTTCTATTGGTCCAAAAACTTCAATCTTTAAAGATTCATCGCTCTCCGCTAAATTGTCCTCCTTTAGCCTGACATAATTCTGTTTGTAGAGTGACAAGCGCTAACGTCTCCCATGTCTCACCACTATTTATGATTCTGTCTCTTCTCTTCACTGTTATGGAACAAGACGGTGCATCTCCCTGCATAAGCCCAGCCATGGTTTCATTCATTATTTAAAGCCCTCTCCACTCAGTCCATTGTATTCAAGGGGTATGATTTGAATAGGAAGTAGCTTCCCAGACCTAGCCGTGTGATGTGTGTGTTCCTCTGTCATTTTATGTTTCTGCGGGCTTCATCTGTCTGCCTCGGCATGCCAGGGGGCTGAAAGAGAATTTCCATTTTATGAATATTTAAAACATAATAAAGTTTTCATTTTTTATTCCATTCCGCCCTAAGGGATAAAAACGTGGCAAAGGCAAACCCTCAAGGACGGCAGGCGGAGTGAAGGTAGTCCGTTCAGAGGAGGCTTCAAAAGTACGGTTCACAGCATTGATTAGCAGAGAGGCTCCAAAATCCTTATTAATAAACAAACGTGTGGGGTGGACACGCTGCCTTCACTGCCCTCTGGCTGTGGTGCCGTTGGATGGCAGCGTACGTACGGAGCCCACTGAGTCTGCAGTGACCTGGCCTGGCTCTCAGTAAGACGCCCCGGCTGCAATGCCCCTGACGCAATTTGGGATTAGCCCAGGATTGTCTGGGATTACCGTGGGCTGGAGGGGGATTAGCGGTGACTGCCTGTTTCAGGGGCGTGAGGGCCACCGGTTGGCCAAATTGCCCCTGAGTCAGATGGAGGGAACAGGATGCAGAGAGAGCCACACCCAGACTGGAACCACCTGCAACACGGGGTATTTTTAGAAGCTAGCGTATGAACAAACACGGTGGAAAACTACAGCGACCCGTGACCACCGCCACCATGAGGACGGAAGTCACGACGTCACAGAGTTAGATCACGCTCCGAAATACACTCCCCTGTTATTGATTGATCTGATATGGAGAAGTTCATTAGGGGGGATTTTCCCTCAAACAGGAATGATTTGTGATTTGAACCAGTATTTTGGCCACATTTCTGATTGGTCAGACTGACTCTGCTCTGCTGGAGAATTTAAAGATTTAAAAAAAGAAAAATCAATGGGTTGATGAGAACGTGATGATGTCACCTCAGTCTGGTCAAAGTCCAGTTCTGGTACGGTGTGAAGAGATGCCATTAAATTAAACTCTGTCGTCTGGTAATCCACTGTCGGACTAGTTCAACAGGGAAAAAGACTTTCAGCGTTTGAACTTCAACAACTCGACAAAGTCGGGCAGTCAAATGATTCAAGTTTTGAATCTGATTGAAGATTTAATCGAGAATAATCCAAATTTCTGAACCTGTTTTCTTCCGGCTAGCTTCTTTCCACCCATCGGTGGCAGAACGACACGAAGGCTCACGTCTGCTTTAATTCAGGCATGCACGGCACCTGATGGGGTTGATGTGGAGTGGCATCATAGGTGGATGCTCCAGCCGGAGTGAAGCGGGGAGGTGGTGCAGCGTGGAGAGGAGCCGTCAGAAGCAGGGAGCGGCGTCCCCTGCGGACCTACACTGTGGAGATGAAAGGCTGTTTAGTGTTAGAGCAGCAGCATCAAACAACTGCCTCCTATCGCATCCCGTCTCCCCTCCCCCACCCTTCCTTTCTCCCTCTCTCGCCACGGTGTAATATACTTCAGTGTGTGTTTTTGCACATTTACCTGGTTGCCATGGTTTCCCGGTGCTGGTGGTGTCATTGTGAGATAACCCAAGGAGGCATTCACAGATCACCTGAATTCTGCACGCCTCCTGTTTGTGTCCCTGCTTCAATTTGATTTTTAAAAATGTATTTATTTTTTTCCCCCCTCTGCCTGTTGTTAGTGTGAAATAGAAATAATCTGCACCGTGATGAAGGTGGCGGGCGTTTGATTGGCCACCAATCCGAGGCAATCTGTTGTAGCAGTATAGTCCATATTGGCAGGAAGTGCTTTGATGCTATATTTTTCCTGCTTAAATGTCAAAATAGCGCACACAGAAAATCTGAATTTCAATGGCAGACTGTTATTAACTGGGAGGCGTCGGGGTGTGCGGCGATAGCGAGAATAAAAACATTTATCCTGTGAATGAGTGGCTGTGCGACCGCACACACCGGAGCTGACGATGACGGCGACGTCAGCGCTGACACGCCGTGTAATTGAAGGCGTAGACGGCCAAGGCAGGAAGGAAAATAAGTCTTAAGTGCAGAGAATCCTCTGACTGGATGAAAAACGTGGCAGGCAGCGACAAGAGGGAAAGAAAGAAATGTGATAAAGACAAAACAAGAGACAGAGGGGGGAGAGAGAGAGAGAGAGAGAGAGGGGAGAGAGAGGGTGGAATACATCCATTAGCCTTCCATGCTCCTGGCTGAGTCTTGCAATACATCTCCTCATTCAGGCTACAAAAGACAGAGCTGGCAACGGGCCCGACTGGCAGCGACTTCAAACGTACAATACACTGGACCACAGCAGCTTACATCATCCTGGCTGAGAGTCCAAGTGGAGACGTAGTGAAGGACAGATGGATGATGAAAACTGAAGCGTTAGGACCGGCGTGCACGGGGAGAGTGTTCAGGGGGGGGGGCGGTTCCACAGGTTTAGTGCGTCTGAAGTTTAGGGGGAGAGGCTCGGACATCAACCCGTCAGGACTGACTGTGCTTCAGATGTGGTTTTTGTTTTTTTTTTTGGTCGTAGATGGAGTAGAATTTCCATCAAGATTTTGATTCTTGGTCTTTGTACTTTGTCATGTATGTGGTACATCCTGTGTAAACGGTGCAGTTGTTTATATATTTGTCTTACATGTTGACATTTACAGGGTCTGTTTTTTTATTTTATACCTGAATTAAAAATATAATTTAATATAGTACAAAATGTTCATTGGAAATTTTTGTGTGTGTTTATTTTCCCAGAACTCCATCCGGCACAACCTCTCCCTCCACACACGCTTCATCCGGGTGCAGAACGAGGGAACTGGCAAGAGTTCCTGGTGGATGTTGAATCCAGACGGAGGGAAGATGGGCAAGGCTCCGCGCCGGCGAGCGGTCTCCATGGACAACAGCACTAAGTACTTAAAAAGCAAAGGCCGCATTAGAGGCAAGAGGGTTGGACGTCCTGGAATAGGAGCGGGGTCTGCCGTGACGGGACTCCAGGCCTCCCCGGACCACGGCAGTCCACCACAGAAAACCCTGCCGGGGTTCGCCGCAGCGACCGGGACGGATGGAGAGTTCGACGCCTGGACGGAGCTTCATTCCAGAGCCAGTTCTTCGGCCTCCACCCTCAGCGGGCGTCTGTCACCGATCCTGGCTGAGGAAGAGGCGGAAGAAGCTGAGGTGGGCGGTCTGTCCAGCTCCACATCCCCCCACCTCTACCCGTCGCCAACCAGCACCAGCTCTCCATCAGTGGGGTCTGGGAGCCACTGCCCCCCCCTCCAGCAGCTGCCTCAGCTGGCTAACATGGCAGGTGCTATCAGTCTGGATGAGCAGCTGACAGAGGACAGTTATCATCCGCACCGTCAGCAGCAGCAGCAGCAGCAGCAGCAGCAGCAGCAGCACGGCAGACACAAGCACCAAACGCCCGTCTACCACTACAGCTCTGGAATCAAAGGCCAAAGCGGTTACGGCCCCGGTGTCTACGGGGCCTCGGCCATGGGGATGCTGCATCACCACTCACCCCATATGCAGACGATTCAAGAGAACAAGGCGGCCAGTTTCTCTGGAACCATGCGGGCGTACTCCGGTGCCAACGCCCTGCAGACGCTGCTCACCGGGGGTCCAGCTGGGCAGCAGTACTGCTCCAAGGACATGCTGCTTGGACAGGAGCGAGAAAGCCATCCCATGATCGGACAGCCCAGCAACGGGGTGGGCCCCAACCATCACAGCCACCATCACGGTCACCACAACGGCCACAGCGAACCACACGGTCACCGCACAGCCCACAGCCATAACAGAACTCCCAGCCATCACAATCACAACGGTGTCGCCAACCGCAACCACAGCTCACCTCACGGCCACAGTCACAACACGCACAACCTCAACCACAGCCATAACCACACACCACCCAGGGCAGCGGTGCTAGCCCCCAGCGGCAACAACAATCACCTGCAGACCTACAACCACAAAACTCCCTACTTGTACAGCCCCCCCTCACACGCCCACCTCCCGGCCTCCACCACCCTCCCTCCCAACCCGGCGGGTATGCTCGGCATGCCTCAGGACTTCTGCCACGTTGCCACCGCCCCCCACCCTCACCCTCGTCACAGCCACTATCCCGACCCGCAGCATCAGGGCGTGACTAGTGGATCGTACCCGTACGGCCCGGGGGTGGGCAACGGTACCACGGGTAGCAACTACCACAGCTATCACCAACCGCACGCCCACGAGAGACTACCGGCCGATTTGGACATTGACATGTTCCACGGCAGCTTGGACTGCGACGTGGAGTCCATTCTCCTCCATGACATTATGGACTCTGGGGAGGAGATGGACTTTAACTTTGACTGCTCCCTCGCTCAGGGTGTGGGCATCGGCATGGGGATGGGCATGGGGGTCACCATGGGCATGGGGATGGGAATGAGCAGCCTGGCCAGTCCTCAGCAGGCCCACAGTAATCAGAGCTGGGTGCCAGGCTGAAGA